TGTCTGCATTATGCATTTCAGAGCAGCATTTGTCCTGTCCATCCCATCCCCTCTCCTCCCCTTCTATTCCCTCCTTTTAACCCTGTCTTTGCCATGTACAAACGATTAATTAAAAATAAAAAATATTTGGACCGTCTCTCAAGATATTAAGACTATTTATAAAGTGTTACAACGTAGTGATGCCATTATCTTGCAGATAGATATCTTTTTAGATTTCTCCATCCAGGGTGCAGGGTGTAACATTCATTCTCTTCTGCTATGTAATTATATTCTGCTATATAAATATATTTGTATAATCTGATAGCCCTGATGGCAGTTGTCTCCAACAGTCTGAGAAATGCAACTGTTGGTATTCCTTAGCTTCATTTTTATTTATTTTTTAATTAAATGTATCACAATGGAGAGTCAGTGATCTACTGAATTATTTCTGCTAATACTTTCCCCTTCCTCAAACTGTTGCCATATTTAAGTAGAATTCTGAATATGTTCTTGCTTTTAAATGAGACCATTTTTATGCAAAACCTATTTCACATGAGAAAATGGATGTATTTTCCAAGTTCTGGTGATCTTTTTTTTTTAATTATATGTTCTTGGAAATTTAAAGTTGCCTTTTTCTTTTTTTCCTCTTTTTTTTTTTTTCCTCTTTTTTTTTTTTTTTTTTTTTCTCCCTTCTTTAAAGAGAAGAGAATTTGGTAACAGCAGCTTCCCAAATTACCGGAAATCTGTGGTTCTCTGACATTCATACTTTGGATTTTTTTTTTAAGGCAGGGAACCTAATGAGGCATTTGTATTTTTTATTTCTAATTATTTGTGAAATCATACTCAGTGCTTGCATATAATTTTATTTTTGCTTATAAGCTTCCATAGTTCTTTCAGTAACAATTGTCTGCCTTCTCATTGCTGTATTATTTTGAAAATAAAATGAGCTTTAGATGTCTGCTTCTGTCGTTTAATATTCAATTGCTATGGTTCTCAACTTTCAAACAAGTTAGCCTGTACAGAAAATAAGGCTTCATAGAAATGGCTTTACACAGATTTTCCTAACAAGGACAACCCATACCTGACACAGTCAGAAAAGATTTCAATAGACTCAGGAAGAATGGATTTTTATCTGGAAAAGAGGATGAGGAACTTTAAAAAATATATAGATAAAAGTTTAAAAATCCTTTAAGACATTATTTTTGTGAAACAAAAGGTTTTTCTCCCTCTTTATCCAGACAATCTATCAAAGTGCTGCAGGAGTTCTGTGGATAGAAGGATTATAAATGAAGATCAGGTGTCCTGACAATGAAGCAATGGTTTGTAGTCAAGTGTTTGTCAAGTCAACAATTTAATTTAATTTTTTAATTTGTTTATTTACCAGTCCTTTCAGTATTTCCATCAATATTATCATTTCAATCCTAGGATTTCATCACATAAGTGCTTATTCTGAGGGAAGTAATGAATTAAAATGAGGAAAAATTAGTATAAAACTAAAGGAATAATTAAAAAAGTATATCAAACTATGCCATGAACCCTTATAATTCTCAAGAATAAAATGAGCAGAAGATAATATCTAAATAGACATTTTGTTAATACTTATTTAAGGACTTAGGACCTCCTAATTTTTACTAAACTAACTGCTGAGCGCACATCTCTGGTTTGATAAATATAAGAGTGATTTTGTTATGTTTTGGGTATCCATTCTTTGAAGACTTTTTAAAAATAGAAGTAGATTTGCTACTTCATCAGCACATTGCTTCTGCCTGGTTATTCCCTACATGGCCAAAATCAGCCCTTGAGTAAGCCATATGGATTCTTCCAAAGGAGGAGATCGCTCACTGATTTACAGCTGCTGTGAGCTGAACTGACCTCTTTCCAGCTGCATGTGATGTTTAAGATGGAGATTAAAACATCTTCTTGGACAGTAAGGCTTCTAAGAGAAACTCTGTTATTGGGTAAAATACCTTGAGCAATGAGAGAGCAGGACGTACTCATGCTAGATGCCTTAATCTGAATGCGAACAACTCTTCAGATCACATTTATAATATTTTCCATTTCCAAACAAATAACTATGAAACATAAGCTAGTTAAAATGTCTTCAGTGGTGAAATAAAATATAAAAATACATAGAATTGGCAAATAAAAAAACAAGTGACAAATTTGTCAGCTTCATCATCACTTTTTCAAGTGGCAGCAGCCAAGTTATCCCTATGCTAACTATCAATCAATTTACTTTTTGCAGCTGATAAGATATTGTCTAATTAAATTGTTTTAATTGCCTTTGACTTTTAATGCAAGGAAAATCACAATATGCTTTCCATTAAAATGCTCCCTACTCATTTCTGTATACTGTGCTTGTCATTATGTAGTTAACAGTTGTTCCACAGTGATATCAAGACTCCATATTTTCTCTTTAAACAAGGATCCTGAAAAAAATGCAGGACTATTTTCTATATCCTAATATATTTTCTTTATTGCTGGCAAGATTGAGTAATGCCCACTTATACTCTCTTCTCATTCTCAAAAATAGTTATTCAAATACCGTATTTAGAAACATTTGATTCATTCTGTCACTGCATTTGCAGTTAGAATGCTAATTCCGGAAAATACTATCTCCCTGTTTTTCACACTGATTTATTTACTGTTTACCTTTTCTTATAAGGCTATAATGAAGCACAGAGATAAAAGTTGAATTCCTGCTTTATGAAAGTAAGAGAATTAACTGTTAATTATACTACAGGAATGTGTGTCAATAAGACTCGGCCAGAATTAGGACTGTAGATCCTCAGCAGTTGTATAGCTGCCCTGAGTATGATGGCAAGCACACAAGGGCGGTATTAAATATTCCGGATCTAAGTTGTAAGATTCCAAGAGGACTCTCTCCAAGTATTTGTCTGTTATCTTCTGCATTTGCAAGGCAAAGGGTGGGGAAGAGGCACTCAATTTCGTGACAGTTTGTCATCTTAAATCCAGAAAATACAGCAGTGTTTCTGGGGCTGGCATTTCAGCCAGTTCAAACCATACTTCATCTTAATTCAGCTCAGAAGTAAAGAAAGCTAAACCAGCTATAAACAGTCATTGCTGTAAGATAGGAAAAACATGAAAACAAACAAAAAAATGCAGAAAGGAGAACTTATTTCTCTGGGCTTTCAGGTAACCAGACGGGAGGAAAAAATTTTTGAAGTGCAGCCATTCTGCATTTAGTTTACTGTCTGACCCAATAAATTATTTTCAATGCTAATTGCAAAGAAGATAGCACCTAAAAGTTGTATGTAAAGGCTTCTGTCACACTGTCACAAAATTGCTCAACGTTTAGCATTCACCCATTGCCATATGCTGTACTATACCCCCTGCTTCTGGTTTACAAATAAAGTACAAAGCGCTGCAGCTGTATCTTCTAGCCATTTCTTCGGTGAACAGATAATGATATATCTAATGCTGAAATATTTGATGTGACTAGTGGACATTTTAGTCACCGCAAAAGTCCTTAATCTCCCTAGGATCCACAGTAACAAAATTATTTGATATGAGAACCTTTGATATTACAAGTTGTATTTAACATTTCAAGGCTCATTTGAATCAGCTCAGCTCACTGAACTGCTAAAGCATACAAAACAACACATCTTGCAGAGAGGAAAAACCTATAGATGTGTTTCATAGCCTAAAGGTATATTAAAAAAAAAAAATCATGGAAAATGAATTGCTGAAGATAAGGCCCAACATTTTATTGGTGCCATTCATTTCAAAAGTCAGATGAAAGCACAGTTCTGGTGCATTGCACAACAGAAGTGTAGATGGATCTACAGATGGATGCAAAGGATACTACTGAGATTTCCATGACATACTGGGGAACCTCTTAAGACAGAAATTTTGTTGTGACTCACAAATACCTGTAGTGCGTGAGCAATCAAATTTCACATTGATCCATAAATTACTACATCATGAACTTGATTTCTTTTCCCTGTTGTAATCCATTAAGATGCTAGCAAATTTTAGTTTTCAGTAGGGATATGCAGGCAATAACATCTTCCCACTGTGCCTTGGCAGCATACTAACGGCTATTGCAAAACACTTAGTGTAAGCATTCAGCCAGGTTTCTGCCCACAGCAGAAATAAATGAATAAATAAGCTTTCATCCAGTTGTGCTACCCATGTTAACACATTGTTTTGTAACCTCAGTATGAAATAGAAAAAAAATCATTTCAGGGGTTATGTATTTTGTGGTACATTGAAGAGGGAATCTTAAGTAGAAGGTTTTATGCCTTTAGAAAAGCGTATCTTTGTACTACTCCAAGTGCTTGTCTTCTAAGTACAGCACTAGAAAAAGAGTGCTTTCTACAGGTCTGTCTTTTAAAATACATATATATATGTTGATAATGATGAACTGATCCTGAGGCTTTATTCAGGTTACATTCTCAGTGACCCAATGGGACAGATTTTGCTGTGGGGGCATTTTGTTAACAGGCCTGAAGGATTAATCTTGCATTTAATTTCTAAGACCAGCACAGTTTTTGACAAGACACTTCTATTTCTGTTAGTGGTGTAAAGTTATTGCAAAGAAAAAGCATGATATAATGTGCACATTTTCTTCCTGTGGTGTTTTTTTGAGGGACAACATGAGTGGTCAACGAATCAAAAAAATAGTAAAATTATGTGAAAAAAAATATTTCTCACCAAGAGTATCAAATTGCGTGTCGTAGGAGCTTGCATTTGTAGAAAGATTACATATAACTAGAGTGGTGCCTTTTAGGAAGCATGAGAGAATCCAGTGATATGTCACGCAGTTTCTGTAGGGGAAGGTCTGGTCTAGGCTGTCAAAAGTTAGTAAAATTCTCTGTTCTAATTCAAATTGATGGTGGATCATGTTCTACATTTATAATAATTGCATAAGAAGCATTGCAAGTAAGTTTTTATTCTATCAATCTATATATAAATACTGTGAGATTTAACACATACCTTACAAGATCTTTCACAAATGCTGGTAATTTGCATGGTTTTAATGTTTTTTTCTTTTATAGTAGGCAATACTCAAAATCCAGAGGAAGAGGTTGCAATCTACAGGAAGCTGGTAGGTCAAATTTTAAAATTATATAAACTGCAGTATAATTAGGTTGACAAAAAAGATATAAGCGGTAAGGTAATGAAACTTGCATTTACTGGGTATTCAGAGATATGCAAAATCATTTTAATTTACATACTGAGGGGGAGAAAATGTGGTTTAGCAGAGGCAATTAACATGAGAAAGTAAGACAGATGCTGTGCAAATAATTCATAATGAATAATTTCTTTGCTCCATTTTGTGTTTGCAAGTTTTCCAAACAAACTAGTTTTTCTGATGTATATGTTCAAACTGTTTGCTGAATAATATCTATGCATAATTTTTTGTCTGTAATTCATTCATAAGCAGAGCTTTTTGAATATTCAGGCTTTTTTGAATGGTTATGTAGGTTGTACAACACGTTTCTCATTTCCAATTGGAGAAACATAAACTTACAGCTTCTGCTGTGAATAATCACAATATTATTTTACCAAACATTCCTGCTAGTACACTCATTTGTTAAAATAATCATGGAAAAAGAGATGCAAACAAAAGCAAGTAAATTAGGCTGGCATGCCCTCTTTTGTTTCTCATTTGGAGAAAATAAATTGTACCGTCCACAATTCTGTTTGTCTTTAATTGAAATGTGAGGAAGATGAAAACACACAATCATAGTCTTACAGGTTTCATATGGTTGTATTGTAGGGTTGTACTTAAATATTTCCTTACTGCAAGGAGTGTGCTCTAATTGTGTTCTCATGTGTTCTTGTTTCCAGTTGTTCAGACCCACTACCTGACAAACTGGTGTTTCTTAACTACAGTCTGCTCTTTAAGCAAGTCAGTTGCTAACTGATGTGTCGTGCCGCTTGCCTCTCCACTTGTTAGGGCTAAATTTCCATCCATTCTGTAGCAAAACATCGAATCAGCCTCTTCTGTGTAGCATAAAGGAAAGGCATATATGTGGGAAGATAATGAAGATAAATACACTATTTGTTGGCAGTCAAGGTGATTAATTGCAAGAGACGGGCTTAATTATGCCAGTAGTAATAATTGGTGTCATGGACAGAGACCATTTTTTTTTTTCTTATGGCCCATTGTTCAGAATGTCTTGAAGTTTAAATACAGACACCTTAATGAATTAGTACAAATAGTAACTTCTTAAATAACAGGCATATATTCTTAATTACATTTAGAGTCATATTTACTTGAAATGCTGGACAAGTCAGTTCTTACTCTTCCTGTGAGTGAAACAGGTCATCAGACCTGAGAGACTGCTGTGTTCTTATGACAAATCCTGTGTGATGAACTCAGTAACAAGTGAATTCCATTTTCAATGATCAATGAATTCCATTTGCAGCATATTATTATATATATTTTTTAAGTTTTTATATTTAAAATATGTATATTGCAGAGTTTCTATTTCAGTTTACCATTTTAATAATGTTAATTACAAAAAAATAGGAATAAAATCTTGGTATTGGTAAGCTGAGCTTCACATTCCTAAGGAAGCAGTGGGAGAATTTTAAGTTCTCCTTTTGAGATACCTTTATATCCCATTTATTCCCTCGCACAGAGGATCTGACAGTCTCAGCTTACACCTTTCCTCTTGAGATCAGAAAATAGCCTGGGAATTTCTTACAACATGAGAAGTGCAAAGGAATCGCTCAAATCTTTCTAACACTAATAGGACAGGAGAACTCAGGGAACTAGAAAAACGGTTTCACTAATGTCAGTTCCACAAACATGTATCAGTGTTGAAGTTCTGCTCTTCTCTTATTTTATGCTGAATAATGTGAGAACACTGAGACAACAATTTTAATAACTAAAGTACACATGTATGTCTTTGGAAGAGAACAGTAAAAATAGAATAGCTTACTTAGTAAGTCCCAGTTTAGTAGCTTGTTAACTAGCAATTACAAGTTCCTTTGGGTACAAAGAAATGATGTCTTGTCTCTAATGAGCACGGCAAGCTAAACAATTATTTGAAAATACAGAAAAATATCAATGAATTGGCACTGAAATGAGAAGTAAATTGTACTTCACTAATTTGGCATGTTTTATCTAGCTAATGGGTTCATTTTTTAAATGAGATATACAAAGTGAAGTAAGAAAACAGAGAATAAAACATCCACTAAATTTACCTAGTTGGATATACATTCTTACTGCTCCTTGGGTTGCCTCCCTTCTCCCTATCTTTCTTCTCCTATCTTCTCAACTTATTAAAAAATCCAGACATAGTAAAGCCTTACATTGATTACATTCTGTTTTCTTCATTCCTGTTTATCTACAGCTTAAACGAGAATGTTTTGGAATCTGAAGTTGGTTAGTTTTTTGTTTGTTTGCTATAATATGATTGCTATAGTATGATTGCTATAATACATTGTCTTCATAATCTTAAAACAGACATTCTAGATTATACATCCCTTTGAACATAATTCTTGCTCTAACTTCCCGTTCTATTCTAGATGCCTTCATTTTTTATTTATTTATTTTTTTAATACTGCTCAAGTTCTTAGTGGTAGGACTGACAAATGAACATGTTTCTTTGCATTATATGGATTTATAACAAATAAACAAATAAAGTTTATTTATTATTTAAACAAATAAACCATATCACTTTACAAATCTATTCCCCAGTGATGTTACAATGAATTAAATATTGGGCTTCTCATGGATTGCTCACTGCAGTTTAACACAACAGATAATGGAAGGAGATCAGGCATGAAAAATTCCTCTTTATCTCACACCTTTTGTCACACGAAGTAACTGATAACCACTAAGTTCATCATCTTTCTTTCATACAACATTCAAAAAATCATGCACTTAAACCATGACCTTCACAGAGAAAGGACTGTGTCATATTGTCTAGGCAGGAGCAAAAATGGGGCCCCGATCCTGAATGGAGTCATTGGATTTTATCAGGAGGATAGATAAAGCAAGTGAATACTTTAGTGTGTGCTTTTCTGGAACATTGTTCCAAGGAAAATATTTTGCATTTAAACAAGGGAGGATAGAAGGAGGTAGAAACTGTAAGAATTACTCATTAAATTAAGGTTAAGGAAATCAGAAATAAAATTGTTTATCTAGCAGTTTATTTAAAATACACACCAGTTACAATGTTTCAACTATTTCATTATGTTATTAAAAATGATATGAAATAACACAGAATTTATGCTTTTTTTTTGGGGGGGAAAGTTATCCCAATCCTGAGATTTGTACGTTGGTTTTATTATTATCTAATATTTCTTGTTATCTTTTGCATACCAGGGAAATGAAAAAATATATATTATATTTTCCAATGTCAAATGAGCCCACAAAAGTTAAAAAATTCAATAATGTGGTATTTTTATTTAACAATTTTAGCTTTTTTTTTTTAAAAAAAAAGTTTTTATTTAAAAGGAACAAATGCTGTTAGCAATGTTTGCATTGGTATTTTCTGTAGGGGTAAAAGGGCATCGCTTAGGTAAACTGTCATATATCACATGCCCTATTTTGCATATAGTACACTTCTATTTTTTTTTTTTTCTGTTTCTCCTTTCTCCCAATTATTCTCTGCAGTTTTACATGAATTTTCCAGTAGATGATTTGTCTGCACCTTTTTACATGCTTACTGATAAAACAGACTGCTAACTTAATATTGATTTTGAGTCAGACTTGACAGCTCATGCTGATTGAATTAGCTTCAATATTATGCAAAACAACTACCATATCCTTTAGAGGTCGCTTTTTATTTTCTCTTTCTCTTTGTATTGTCCCATATCTATTATTCAACTGCTTGATGTAGCTCTATTATTCAGCTCTTGTTGAACTGACTTTCAACTGTTGAAAAACTAGGTACTGGGCTAGGCACTACAACACTGTATGTTGCCATTCACCTTGCCTGTGACCTGCACTTACAGTTTCATTTACTCCCATGCAGATTATGTAGCTGTGATGTACCTCATCCACACCAACAATACTTAATGCAGAACTGAGAAAAATATGTCTGCTATCAGGAAGAAATGCTGATTTTATCCTTAGTTCACTTTGGAAGACCCACTGTTATTAACCAAAATGCTCCCAGCCTTTTATCTTAATCTTCTAGCTGTGTGATCTGGAAATGCAAAGGCCTTTCTATATACAGACAGCTACATAGAGTATATACTTTAATGTAATGGGTACAGCATCTCAGTAATTAACGCAGGAAGACAAGTGAAACTGTTCATCCTCTTGGTGTCACAGTCATGAAAATGGCTAAGAGAATTAACATTGTAATAGCTTGCAATTACACTCAAGAGCAGTCAGTAGCTTGCGAAACCAAACTAAGGACTAGTTAACAACTGTATCTTCCATTTATGTTACACGAGTAATGAGAAGACGAATCTATTATTCAGGAACTGGAATCTCAAATATGTACTATAAATGAGTATAACTCCAGTAACTAAATAGGCCAGAAGAAAGTAAGAGCCCTGGGTTGTGCTTCACACAAATTAGAACTGCCCCGAGATTTGTGTGTTCAGTTTAAGACTTGTCTTAGCAGTTTCACATCAGTGTGTGACAAGTGCTCTTGGTGTAGTAGCCACAGTGAAAATCATGCATCCTATCACCTCTCCAACAGCGATACCAAATTTCAGTACCCATGAGGTGTTCCCTGAGAGCTGGACAGTTTGAACACAAAAACACATCTCAGGACCCAGTGAATTCTCCTCTTGCTCTGCCAGCTGACCAAGGCTCATCATTTGCTTACAAATGGCACTAATGCACTTTAACAGGAAGTTGACAGCCAGGTTCTTCAGAATGCCTACGAAATAATTGTGTTCAGCAAAAGCTACCACATGAGAAAAGGGTTTTAGTCAGGAGCTTTGTATGTAAAACACAATACAGACATCTGCCATGACAGAGAGATGGTATTTTACTGGGTTTTGCATGGGGGGTCTCATTAGGGATGGCTGTGTACAACAAACACGCTCATTTGCAGACAGCAATTTTTCTAATGAAAAATGATCCATCTCTTAGTACAACCTTGTTCTGCACCTATGAAAGTCTGCATA